TTATTATAGCAAAAAAAAATAGACCTAACAACCACCACTAGAATAAATATGGCATGAAATAAACAGATCATACTTTTACCACACCTGTGCCATGTTACTTGTTTGTGTGATTGCTGATGTACAAAACTATTTTTACCACTTTGCTCTCACCTCAGGACTGTAACCCCCCATCCAGAGGGAACATGAAGATTTTAAAGAGAAGAACTCATGTGTTTAGTAATAATTTAGTATAATTTAAATTTTATGTGGCACTGTGACACTGCATAACTTTTACTGATGCGGGTTTGGGCCTGCATTGGCCCTGCAGTGTGTCTGCACTGCACACTGATGAGTGTGTGACGACTTGGAGATCCAGGGTTGGAAAGTACACAAGCACGAACACACACACACACACACACACACACACACACACACAGACACAGACACACACACACACACACACACACNACACACACACACACACACACACACACACACACACACACACACAGAGACAGGTTTGATTATAATTGCAGGAGTCTGTCCAAAGTATACAAAATACTTAATAGCGAGAGGCTTTGAATCTAATGGTGTTGTACAGGTTTTGGCCGACACGAGTGCCAAGAGCAGAGTGGAGAAACATCATGTATACGTGAAAAATAAAGATGCTCTTTCAGATTCCAGATTTGGTGCGGTTGAACTTTACCTCACCTCCAGAGGCACGGTAGGGACACGGCAGAGAAAACACAGCAAGGGCCATGCAGGGGAAATTCCTGCCAGGGATCCATGAATGTCTTAATACCACAGGAATGCACAAGTCAAATTTACACGACTGTCCCGACAGCTAGAGATACGGAGCAAGATAAACCAAAGTCATCCCGAGCACCATTGTGGTTGTTACTGCTTGTTCTTGGCTTCATCACATTGTTACATAAGAGCTTACATTTGTGAAGGTATTTTGTTTGTTTATAGCGTTCAGGTCTTCGAGGAAACATAACCGAATGCGTGTGGTCTCTTAACCCGACTTGTGTTATGTTAATATGTGTGGAAGCAGAAAAACGAAATGAAAATTATATAAATTTTAACATCAGAATTTCTTGTCAGAGAACAAACAAGTTTTTTTTCCCCAGCAAAACAAAGGAGTATTTCTTCAGATGACATAATGAATTTCATGAGGAATGTTCCAGTATTTATAAGTTTATAGCAGGTTAAATGGTGATTTTACTGCTGCATTCTGTATAGCAATTTTGGCACTTTTCTACTTTTAGCTTATAATTGATCAAATTAAAACTATGATGCATATTCATTTCCTTAGAGTTAAATGATTTCAAGCTTGCCGTACCACTCTCACATTGTATAGTTAATATGGATGCATAGCAGGATCTAGCAGCTGGTTAGCTTAGCTTAAAGACAGAAAATCTAAATTCTAAATAAAAATGTTTATTACATTGGAAAATAGGGTTGGGCGATAAGGCCAAAAATGGTATCAAGATAAAAAGTTGATAATGATAAATATCATGATAAGTTTCACATTGTTGTTTCTTGTAAGTTTAAAGACTCTAAGGTAGCTCAACAATCTGTTACACCTCCTGCTGTACCTACTTGCACAACCCATAAGCATTTTGTTATAATGCTATTGACAATAGCAATATAGTTATACTGTGATTATTTATTAGTTAATTATTGAAAAAATCAATTATTGACATTGTTTTTATCACAGTTAGAAGGATCAAAAAGTACACCAGCTTTTTTAATTCTCACATTATTAACCTTTTCTCTGCACCTCACATTAAAAAGACAACTGCTGTAATAAAAGATGAAAAGTTAAGCTTAAAGTTACAAGGTTACTCTTGTAATTAAATGAGTTACAGCCACAAGATTGGTTCTTTTACTCACGGGAAATCCACCTTAATGAAGCTCTAACAGCTTCTACTCTGCCCTGCTCGACCTTACATAACCTATTGAGGGAACACCCTGTCACAGTTTGAAAAACAACATTGATCTGTTACTTTGCTAAGCTTCATCGCTGGGTGGATCTTCTCCAAACCTGCCAAGGTCTCTCAGATAGTTATTGCATTAGTTAGAAAAAAGATCTGTCAAGGCTTGTGTTTATTTTTTTCTTTTAAATAGTAGAACTAATCGTATCTCCATTCCTGTTGATGGAGTGCAGCTCATGAAATCTGCTGGCCGAGTGCCCACTGATCCTTGCTCCTCAGTTATGAGCCATTCACCTCTCTCTCTTTCTCTCTCACTCTCTCTCACTCTCTCTCTCTCTCTCACTCTCTCTCACTCTCTCTCTCTCTCTCACTCTCTCTCTCTCTCACTCTATCACTCTCTCTCTCTCTCTCTCTCTCTCACTCTCTCTCTCTCACTCTCTCTCTCTCACTCACTCACTCACTCACTCACTGCCATCTGACAACTCCTGGTGAAGACGATGATACAACGTCCCTCTGTGGAGTTGTTTTTCCCTCAGTCTTCAGGAAACCAAAGGTTTTGCTCCATTAATCACTGAAATTTATTAAACTGCTTTACTTGCATTTCATGGACAGCAGTGACTTAAATGCAGTCTTGTATTATGGCTAGATGCATGTGCGCTAACCCAAATTATAGTGGCTTGTGTCTCGTATAGGAGATTTTTTTTCTCCCTGATGAGCAGCCCAGTATAGCAGAGTCTATTATTCGCTGATGTACTGTACGTGCTGGCTATCTGCCCGACCCCTCTGGTAAGCCAATCGAAGAGGCCAGCGCCAGCCAAAGCCTGGAGCATTCCCATACCAAACAAAAACACATCAGCAAAGTCAATATTATCCTTCTATGCTGCCAACCAGCAGCAGGAAAGGCTGAATAAAAGAAGAGCAAATACCTCAAAGGATATCTAAAGGCTAAATGGAATCACTCAGATTGTCGGGACGTTAATGAAGTGCTCTCAAAGGTCTGTGTCTTGGGGGGGCTGTAACCCATCACACTCCCGTGCTCACTTCCGGCCATTCTCTGTGTGAGGTTAATTGGACAGAGGGACAACTCTTTGTCAGGATGTGTATGGAAGTCTATGGGAATAGCTCACATGGGTCCTTTTTTATAATGGAATGAGCAATTTCCCCTGGCAACCACACACACACTTCACTGCCAAGAATGAAGAGAGTGTAAAGTTGAACAGGAATCCATGGTGTGATATTCTTACAGAGACAGCCTCCATAAATTTTCTGTTTATTGCATTTTAGAGCTGATATTATTTCATATGTCCCTTTGTCTTTTTTTTGGATAAACAGCAAGGTGTAGCACAAAAAGCTCAGTGTCATGTCACACAGCTGTATTACATTACACATTATGTATTAATTTCATATAAATATTAATTCAACCCTGTGGTTATTAAAGTCTCTTATAGTGAGATTTCCTGAAACCACAAATTTTGAAAACCTGACATTTATTACTGATGGATGGTTGCATCTGAAATATTCTGATGTTAAGTGACATTATCTGCATCTGCTGAGTCACACGCTCATAAGATAAAAATATCTAAATAACCAAACAAAAGGGGAAGTGAAAACAGCAGTCTTTTCTAACAAACTTTCTGAAGTTTCATTGCTTGTGTGTGAAGTTCCTAACATCTGTAAGATCCTGAGCAACCTGTGAACTTTCTAACAGTTTGTTTAATCTCTCTAGGATTGAAAACTCATTGTAATTGTTAACAATACCCTTCAACTTTGTTTCCTTTGCCAGTCAAACTGTTTTTAAGTTTGAACTGATAACGTCAATGTTGGACTTTGTAGTTCATGTGACTCCATCTGTGTTACTTTTCTTGCAGTGTTGAAATCCCCGAATGTCTCTTAATGTGAGGACGAGGATTTTGAGAAAATATTATTGATGCTGCTCGACTCTTTAGCGTTCTCCGCAGTGGGTCCAACAGCTGTTGGAGACACCAGATGGGGTAAAGGTTCATGCTCCTACTGGGATCACATGACACTGCAGTTTTGTTCTCACTTTTTTTCTTGCAACTGATTTATTTTCTCCAAAAGAGATGGACCCTCTGTGCCAAAGAGCTTGTGCACATTTTTGTTCTTTATTGCAGAGACATGCTCTGTAACAAAAGCATCAGTTCAACCTGCACATAAGAGAAACACTCTTACTTTCAGATTTGTTGCCAGATAAGATTAAACACGTATCAAAAGCATGTTTTTGAAAGATGTCAGGGCGAAAAGTTTTTTAAAAAGTGAAAAAATGATATATTTAAATAAATCTCAAGTCTGTCTGAGCTGAAAAGGCTGTTTTATTAGAATTGGATTTCCTGTTTTCATAAAAATAACCCTGCACTCTGCAGGCACATGTTGTGAGAAAATATTAAACCTGCTGTGGGTTTTTTCCAGCATCCACAATCTTCAAATATTAAAGATTAAACCAGTCGAGAGGTAAGCCTTCCTCAATTAAACTGACTTAGTCGGCTTCAGGTCTTAAATAAAAAACAATCTGACTAAGTCTGTGTTTTTTTTTAATTACTTCATCTTGTCATTTCAAAATGGCACCAGCTCCTGTGGTCCAATTTCTGGTCTTTTGAAGTGACACTTTGTTCATCGTAAAGCACTAAATTATGACTCTTGGAATGGTCCACTCCTCCCCAGAGGGCACAGGCTATTACTGTTAAATGCCGGCCACTATAGTGCTCTGAAGTGTGTTGTGGTCAGAGCAGTTACGTTGAGGTCATGTCAAAGAATACGAGCCACAGGACAAATCCATTAAACGCTGTTTAAATCACGGACGTAAAGCTGATCGCGCTGATGACACTTGCAGATTTGGACATGGGGCGAGAAAACATGTGTCAGCATCAATGTGTTGATATTAAAAATCCACTCGACTGATTTCTGACTTTATTTTTATGTGCAAATGGTCTGACACAAAACACCCAGACACTCACTAAAATAAATCTGCAGCTGCAACCACAGGTCAAGCAGCACAAACAAAGACTTCAGCTTTAGTTTTCCAGGTTCCAAAGTTTCACTTTTACGTGGTTAATGATTGGTGGCTACTGCATTCCTCTTGAATGCATCATTGTACTGGAAAACATTTCTACAGCTGCCAGTGAGGATGAATAATACATTTAATTTCACTGTGCCTTTCTAAACACCCAAGGACATTACAATAAACACACAAATAATGAAAGTAAAAGAGATTAGGAGACACAATAACTAAAAAGTAAAACAAAGGTTATAAACCTGGTTAAGAGGCATAGACGGCTAATAGTTCATCAAATGTGAACGCATGAAATTGAAGTAAAACCAAATGTTAAAATCTGATTAGTGTGAGATGAATAAGATGTAATGTATGGGAGCCTGATGTAAACAGATGTGTTTTGAGTTGTGATGTCATTCTAATAAAGTCCAGCTGCATATTGACAAGTAAAACAGTTACAGACTGAAAACTTTCAAGATCAAATTTTATTTGAAAATGATCTAATGTGCAGATTTCTATTGTTTTTTTTCTTGTCTTATTTTATCTACCTCCCTCTGCTCCAACAGCCTATAAAGTTTACACGATGTAAAGACCTGCTGGACTTGTTTAATCCTCCATCTATATACGTCCCACCATCACCTGTTTCCCCGTCGAGCATCTTAAAGGTACACAAACAAGCTCTTCTTGACCCCACCTTGGCAGGAGAAGAAACATGTTAGCAGAAAAAAACGGTAGCACGCGTCCCACCCTTTCCTCCGCACGTATGGACCCCGACCACGGTGACATAAAGCCCAGGAAGGGAGAGGCTGCAAGGACACGTTCCACACTCTCCTTCCGACCATCAAGAGGCTTGGTGTATCGCTATCTATTTGCTCAGGAGGCCGGAGTCAGCTGCAGGCAGGAAGCAGGTGGAAGGTTTCAATCAAGATAATACATGAAAAGTTTGGAGTCGAACCAAATTCTAATAATCAACAACTGCACAGGGAAAAAAGAGAAAAGAGCGGAAAAAAAACATCAGCACGTCGTCTCTGTTCCTGTTCCTGTCTTCTATTGCAAAGGTTAAAGGTCAGACGAGCCCAACTTACCCAAGGTTACAGCTCATATACTGCTGAATACAAATGTACACACATCTTGAAGATCACTTAACACACAGGAATTCCTTCCCATATGAAATCAACACACCATTTCCTCTGCAGATTAGCAGTTCTAACATGAGATGTTGTTTTTTGGTGCGTGTAGGTTCTTAATTCGAACCGAGCTTGGTATTGTTTTATTAGATAATGAGTTCATACTAGGTGAAGGATGCACTTGAAAAAACTGTTAGACAAGTTCAAACATGTTGAAAGCTCCCTGCTGTGAAGCAGTTAATTATGAAATGTTTCAATCTAAACCTCCAGGGACACGAGTGAAAGCGCTGGTGAAGTCACTGCCAACTCAGTGAAAAATAAAGGCCTGAGCCTCTGTGGCAACACCGAGGCGAGGGGACAAATATTCATTTAATGCAGCACTCTGTAACTTTTACTGAGCAACAGCCAGTAATTTGTTTTCGTGCAGAGAAAAACAAAGTATCAATCTGTTGACTCGAGCGCAGACTGTGTCGTCCAGTTCACTGAACTGAAACACAACTGAACGATGGCTGTTACGCATGAACCTCTGAACCAGAAACTGTAACAAATACACCACTGTATATTTACATTTCTTCATATTTTAAAAATGTCCTCACTCAATTTTGGAGGTAAATACTGCTTTTTAATGACTCCTAATTCTTTTCTTTTTAAGCTACAGTTAAATTTAAGCTGCCACTATAAGTCAGTTACACACTTCTCACAGGAGATCATATCCATATCTGGTGGCTGGCTGGAGTTTAAAATACACATCACATGAATTTTTCTCAGAGATGGTTTCTGCCATTTTAGGTCGTTCTTAACACGCTGACATTTATTCAACTTACTTGATGCTATAAGCTGAGACTGACTCACCATTGGTGGAGCTTGTGTATTGATGGGACCTCGTTACTGCGGCTCCATCCTCCGATGATTGCTGTGTAGACTCTGGCTCCTAATGCTCAACATGGCGGTGTTTCATCGTGTCTGATCAAAGAGCAAAAAGAAACATTCACAAGGATATTAAATGAGTTTAGCAGTTCAACAAAAAGATGTAGTTCACTGTATATGTATGAAAAATGAACGCAGTCTAATTCAGTCAACTGGGAATGGAATTGATTAAGCTTTAGCTTTTATCAGCATCAGCTCGTGAGCGTCCCAAAGAGCGGATGAAAAGACAGTTTTAATTGTCTCCACAGATGACTGAGATGCAGGAACGCATGTAACAAGAAATCTTTTGTCCATAAGCTCATTAGGATCACACTGCAAACACTGTATTTCACAATCCGTGAAGCACACACACACACACACACACACA